GGGGGGGGGGGGGGGTTGTGTGGAATTCACTACACAAAAAACCATATAATGTAGGTATATTATATCATCTGTTTTCCCCTTTTACCCTCTCTATGTAGGGGACCAATGAGTTATATATCTATTATTCATTAATATAGACTTGCAAAATATACGTTTTGCTCTTTTTATACTCCACGAAATCTAAGGTCAAATTTCGTACACCAACTCTTAGTCTATGACTGCTGTCCTCAACTTCTCAGGACCCTTTCTACGTGAGCTTCACTATCACTACCCCTGCTTGGATAGAGTAGTCTATTCTTTGTATGTCTATGCTTTCGACAGTGTATATTTTGGTTACGCGATAATAGTAAACATAACCGTGAAATTGAAAGAATAAATATAAACACAACTCCAATATGTACTAAGTACGTTTGCACCGTAGATTACTAGTTTCCAAAAAAAATGAATCGAGATAAGAAGGATTGGGTTCGTAGCAGAGAAAGGAGCAGGGATCGAGACAAGGGGAGAGACAGAAGTCGAGATAAAAGTAGAGATCGCGGCAGAAAAAGAAGCAGAGATAGAGATGAGGGCAAGAGTAAAAATTGTGAAAAGAGTAGCAAAATGCCAGACAAACGTGATCACAGCAAAAGTGAGAAAAAGAAAAAGAAATCCAAACAGAAAGAACACAAAAAACATAAAAGGTAAGATAAAAAGAGTTGGTATATTTTTTTTATCAACTTGTGCAAATAATTTTGGCTGTACTTACTTCGGAATATGATCCGCCTCCGATTGCGTTGGAAATTAGTATGCGTATGATCTTTTGAGGTGCAGGTTACAAATCTGGCTCTATATGCCCTTACCAATTATCGCAAATAATGAAGTAACTGTCTACAAAAGATGGTAAAGCCATAAACTAAACATATATCTAGTGGCATGAGAGCATACCACCAAACAAACTAAGTAGACCTATAAGTATTCCGAAACTAAAAAAAAACATATTACAAAACGTTTGCACTAACTTTGGTGGCTAAAATTATAATCAGCGCCGTCAGAAAGCCTAATACTTATTTTTAATGAGAAAAAAAAATTAATCAATACACATGAGTCTCATGATATAAACTGTGATTTTTTAAATCTTTTTCATAATTGTTAGGTATAATACTTTATAGGTACAATATATTTCATGAATATAAATATTTTCATGGGTAACTAAAATTCATAAATAAAATTTTCATCATTTTGATTCAGACTTGTAATCAGCTCCTCTCAAAAAATGGCTCTGGTTTTGTACATGGCCGCACAATAACAAATTAGTTATGCAAAAGTGAAATACTTCTGTTTCTATACAATAAAAAAAGGATGCCATTCCACTACTTTTTCCTCATCCCCGTTCTCTCCTCACCTCCTCAGCAATCGTGCAGCCATATACTAAACCGTAACCCTGGATTTCACACTGATTTATAATCGTTATTTTTTTATATACAAAATTAAACAAAGTACTTATGATATCTCTTACAGATCATCATCATCATCTTCAACTTCATCAATGTCGTCTGTGTCATCAGCAGGTTCGATCGAATCATTAAAATTACAACAAAAATTGTACAAACAGAGATTGAAGCAAGCTGAAAAGAAGAAAAAGGAAAAAGAATTAATGAAAATGAAAGAGACGCCTGAGGAAAAGAGACTCAGAAGATTATTAAAGAAGGAAGGCAAGGAACGTAAGAGAAAGGAACGCATGGGCTGGGATAATGATTACTTGCACTATACTAACACAGACAATCCTTTTGGGGATGGACAACTGCTTCAGCCTTTTGTTTGGGGAAAGAAATTAGAAAAAGAGGGGCTATTAGAAGTAACTCGAGATGAACTCGAAATGCGAAACAGATACAAACAAGAAGAAAATAAAAGAGAATTAGAAAAGGTTAAGAAAAGAAGACAGGAACGTGAATTGCAGAGAAAACAGCGTGAGGATGAGGCAGCGCTGGAGCAGAGAGGAAAGGAAGCTGCCCAACTGGAGCACTGGCATCAGCAAGAAGATCAATTTCACTTGGAGCAAGCAAGACTCAGGTCTCGCATCAGAATACAGGATGGACGTGCAAAACCAATTGATCTCCTTGCAAAGTACATCGGAGCTGAAGATGAGGTAGATGCTATTGAAATGCATGAACCTTACACTTATTTGAGAGGCTTGCAAATAAAAGATCTTGAAGATCTCATAGTCGATATAAAAGTGTACAAAGAACTAGAACGTGGCAAAAATCTTGATTATTGGACTGATATCACCATCATTGTGGAGGATGAGTTACAAAAATTAAGAAAATTACAGCAATCTGATTATCAAGTCGGTGAGTAAATGAAATTTTGTTCTTTTAAAGCTTAATTTTTCATTTTTAAGTTCAATACCTCTATCTTTAAAAACATGAATTTATTTTTACAGCGGTTGGAAGACGTGAAGGTATTAATGAGTCAGTTGCAGCTGAAGTAACATCTATTTTTAAAGGAAAAACAGCTGCTGAGCTAAAAAAATTACAATCCCAAATTGAAGAGAAAATTAGAAGTAAAGTTGAGGGTTTAGATATTGGATATTGGGAAAGCTTACTATCTCAACTAAAAGGTATGTATAAGAATACAAATATGTTGAATGCGATTGTTTTTTTCATTGATTTATTTTTACGGACAAAGATTGTTATCATTATCCGTAATATTTACAATCATTATTATTATTTTTTTAAACGATTTTGATCCATAATGAAACTTACAGCTCACATGGCTAGAGCAAGACTACGAGATCGTCATCAAGAAAACCTGAAAAAGAAACTAAATATTTTGATGGCTCAACAAGGAGTGGCAAAGACAGAAACTGAGGCTGGTACATCCAAAGAAGAAGCGACGAAAGATGAGAATCCTAGTGCTTCTGCAGCTGCATTGGATGAAAGTCAATCAGAGTACGTATCACATTTCGACAAGGCTTAATTTATTTTATTATTTACTGTTTTATGTAAAGTTTTATAATTAAATTGTTTGTGGAATGAAAAAACAAAAATAATACAAATTAATTTTTTTTATTCATACAAAATATTTTTTTAGGGATGAGTTTGATGAAGCAGGATCTTACTCTCCAACATATATTGCTCCATCAGATTTAGAACCAGGAACCCTCATCACATTAGAGGATGACGATATCAAACGATTGGAATTTGCAAGGAATCAAGTCATCAGTACAGGACGAAAAGTGCAAAGTGTTTTATCAGCAGAAGAACAAGCTATGCGGAGAGAAGTTAGTAAAAACATGGATTCAGACGAAGCACAGTTTAGTGTTGAATCAACTTTGGAAGCTCAAGTTTATCTATGGTCTGACAAGTACAGACCTAGAAAGCCAAGATACTTTAACCGGGTTCATACTGGATTTGAATGGAACAAATACAATCAAACTCACTATGATATGGATAATCCACCACCAAAGATTGTTCAGGGATATAAATTTAATATTTTTTACCCTGATCTCATCGACAAGCATACCACTCCAGAATATTTTTTGGTGAGTACTTTTTTATCCTTCCGGCAGAATACGAATGATTACAGCTCAACTTATCCAATAAAAATTTTGCATTTAAAAAATATATATTTGCAAACTAAATTATAAAAAACACAAAAAATGAAAATTCAGCATTGAATTAAATAAAAATCAATTTAACAAAATAAGTATATAAATTAAAATACAAGTAAAATTCAAGCAGTGTATTCCATGATATAAAATGGAAAGATACAAAATAAGGTGAAAAATAAAAATAGCAACGTAAGGTTCCACAAAAGAAAAAATAATAGGCTTAAGACGAAAAAACTAACGTATTATAAACATTTGTCAATAACACATAATAGCTTGATTAATTTTATACGAAATTGGATAAAAAAAACATAATTTTTGTATTACAAGATATACCCATCAGTATTTGAAAAGTTTGCAAATACGTGTCTTCCAAGTGTCTTTAAAAACGCTTAAAGATAAAAAAAACATAATTTTCTTTTTTCAGACTCCCTGTGGCGATAATAAGGACTTTGCCATATTGAGATTCAAAGCTGGCCCCCCTTACGAGGATATAGCTTTCAAAATAGTGAATCGTGAGTGGGAATACTCGTACAAAAGAGGATTTCGATGCCAATTTCATAACAACATATTTCAACTTTGGTTTCATTTCAAGCGATATCGTTACAGGAGATAGTTATTTCTTTCAAAATTGTGTATATTTGTACATAAGTTACGTATTAAATATCTATTTTATTTTTAATACTAACATGTAATATTAAAAAATATTTTAAACTTGCATATCTGACTTTCTATTATTACTTTTTATTTTTAATCATATCAGTTGCCAAAATGTTGACAAATGTGATGAAAAAACATTGATTTAATAGGAAAATTACATTTTTTAAGGCTATTTCCTGAATTACATCTGGTTAATTTTTTAGGTTTCAATTCTAATACTGCAAATCTAACACTGTGATTCATCAAAAATATTAAAAATAATCATCAACTAATCAATTATTAATCACAATAAAAGTTTACATCATTTATACCAAAAAAATTCCTAATTAATTGATGCAACTACAGAAGACCAAATAAGAAAGTATATGTAACGTCACTACGGTGCAAAATATTAACTTGAGTGCTCAAAAGACGTAATGTATGTACATTTGTGTTTGAGTTACGTGTAAGATATTGTTTTTCACCATAACTTCGCCTAGAGACGGAATTTTTATCCCGCAAAGCGCTTTGGTAAAAAATCGTAGACAATTAATCACAGGAGGAAACAAAAAAGGCTCAGATCACGTTCTTGTCACCAAATGTCGACAGCAAAAAGTACAATTTTGCGCCCTTCAATAAATAGTTCTCGTTACGGAATCGCTCTCGCCACCAAGGCTATTTTTCTGCCCGAGGAAGCTGCGAAGTCAGGCCCCGGTTGGATGGCGAACACTACTATTTTTCTTTTTTCCTGTCGAGGGTCCAGTGCGCCCTCGGTATAGGAAAAATAGAGTTCGTCACACAAATGCCATCCAACCGCGAAATAGCTTCGGTGGCGATGGTACACCTCCTAGGGGATGAAAACTCTATCTTTCAACGATTTAAAAGATTTTTAATCTGCTTCCAAAAATCAAGTCATAAGTAAGTACAGGCCAAACGAGTTTTTAAACTGAAAGTACTGAAAAATAGAAAAAAAAACTATGTATCTTCAAAATTTTCGTTGGCCTGTACCAAAATTTAGTAAATAATTTTAATTATTTTCAGAGTTATTTGATCTGATTACGAATTTCTCATTTAGTTGTACGAAATGTTTTTTTGGATTGACTAAATTTGTTTCAATTAAAAGAAAATATTTGAACAGAATGAGGATAAAGAAATTTTCTTTGATTCAAAGAATTGGGTTGCTCAGTGGCTTCTCAATTTATTAACTTCGTAACCCTGGGCACACTGCGGACTGCGCCCGCTAACCACTTTGCATCCTAGGGCGGAATTTTCATCTACAGAAATCTAAGCAATTTACTAAAATATTGTACTTCACGTACAAGATAACTTTATATGTGTCATATATAGCTGCACTTATAAATATATACTTGCAGTATACATATACTACACCTATATATATATACAAAAGATATATATGAGTACTTACCCATTTCCCATTTCCTGTGTTGTGTTGTTGTGTTCATATCAGTTGTTGTGATTTGTAATGTGTGTACGTATATACCGTAGTGCATGTTCAGGTGTACTTATACAAAAGTATAGGTATTTATTTCTTTCATTTTCAGTATTTTCACACTTACAATTTTCAATCTGATGCAGGGACTGTATCAGTGCACACTGCCAGGTAAGTGCCTAAACTGTATTATAGAATATAAAAATCTGCACTGACCACTTTTCTTTTTCAATTAAAAATTTTATGCAATTTACTACTTACACAAAATATAAATATAAAGTATGGCATTAACGACGCGAACACATACATATAAGTATGTGTGTAAACAATGAACATAACAGCTGATTTTGAACTAACTCTATACATTAATTGCATCACGACCACTATACGCGTCCATCCCCATGTGCCTTTTCGAATACACGAACTTATATTGTTTTTGCAATTGTTATTAAAATAAGAAGGTATTGTTCGTTTACAGGTGTTTTGAAAAACAATACTTATGTTGTAATAAGTAATACGTCTTAAGATTTAATGAAGACTTGCTCATTGAGTTTGGTCAAGTAAAGTTGGAAGAATTTTCAAAATTCAAAGGACAACGGTTTTTGTCCATCAAAGATCTTGGCGCCTCTTTGGTAACTTTCATTTGAAACGAACACGTAATCCATTTTTTTACAAAATCACGTTTACTTTGTTCAGTGAGTATTGGAGGTTTGAGAAAAAATTGATTAAATTCTTTCTCTCATTGTAGATTTCAACATGTCGGAACCAGCCAAGAAAAAATTAAAAACCACCGATTTGGTCAAACAGTTTGAAGAAGAAAGAAATCAAGTGAGTGATATTATTTATTCATTTGTTATGTTATTTACACATGTAGGTATTTGTCTCTTATACCCATTGCATATTTTCAGACAGCAGATTCAGTTATGTCATTCAAGTTCAATAAGAAGAGAATCAGAATATTGTCGGAGACCACCGATGAAGTAGCAAAAAACAGTGAAGGAATACTTTATTGGATGTTCAGAGATGCTCGTATTCAAGGTGTGGTGATAATTTGCAGTCCAACTACCATTTGTCATGTCTGGATTAATAACTCACGATACATATTATTTATACAATTTTAGATAACTGGGCTCTACTATTTGCACAAAAAATTGCAATAAAAAACAAACTACCTCTGCATATCTGCTACTGCATTCTTCCAAAGTTCCTCGATGCTACTCTACGTCACTATAAATGGCTTTTAGAGAATCTGGAAGAAGTCGCAAAAGGTTGCAAGGCTTTGAATATTAATTTTCATCTGTTGATCGGAGAACCAAATGATGTTGTTGTTGACTTTGTCAAAAAGTATAAGATGGGAGCAGTTGTGGCTGATTTTTTCCCTCTAAGAGTACCGTTATTCTGGCTTGACGAGATCAAAAAGAAAATTCCAAGCAACGTTCCAGTTTGTCAAGTAAGTAATGATCAACATTCAAACTTAATACCAAAGGTATGAAAAAAAAAAAATTAATTTAATTAATTTCACAGGTCGATGCTCACAACATCGTTCCCTGCTGGGTTGCTTCCGAAAAACTAGAATATGCTGCTCGTACAATAAGGAATAAGATAAATTCTAAACTAAGCGAATTTCTCACAGAATTCCCTCCTGTGATCAAACACCCTTACAAATCTGATCAGAAATTCAAAGAAAATAATTTTGCTACCGCACTGGACAAAGTATTGATTGACAAGACAGTTGATAAAATTGATTGGGCAAAACCAGGATACCTGGGTGCAGTTGATCAGTTGGATAGTTTTATCAAAACGCGCCTTAAATTGTACAGTGAAAAGCGAAACAATCCAACCATAAATGCACTCAGCAATTTGTCGCCATGGTTCCATTTTGGTATGATCTCAGTTCAAAGATGCATCTTGGAAGTTGCAAAGTACAAAACTGCTTATAAAGCTTCAGTTGAGGCTTTTATGGAAGAAAGTATTGTTCGCAGAGAGCTTAGTGACAATTTTTGTTTCTACAATCCCAACTACGACAGTATTAAGGGAGCTTACGATTGGGCTGCAAAGACATTGGATGAACACCGGTATAATTAATAACAAAGCAAATAATTGCAGTTTATAAAAATTTCGTTATTTTAACAACAATAACTGCTATTATTTATAGGAAGGACAAGAGGGAGTACGTTTACACATTAGAAGAATTTGAGCAAGGCTTGACTCATGATGATTTGTGGAATGCTGCAGAAATTCAGTTGGTTAAAGAAGGAAAAATTCATGGTTTCCTAAGAATGTATTGGGCTAAAAAAATTTTAGAATGGACCAAATCACCGGAGGATGCCCTGAAGTACTCCATCTATCTAAATGACAAATACAGCATGGATGGACGGGATCCCAATGGATATGTGGGTATGTAAATTGTAGTTCAAATAGAAATCAAAGGAAACTTTTTCATTACAATATACTCAATATTACTGGTGATTAAGCTTTATTAATAAAAGCGTTACTTTAAATTAGGATGTATGTGGTCCATTTGTGGTATTCATGACCAAGGGTGGAGAGAGAGATCCGTTTTTGGCAAAATTCGCTACATGAATTATGAAGGTTGCAAGAAAAAGTTCGATGTACCTGCATTTGTTAAGAAATACGGAGCCAAAGTTCATAATAAAAAAAACAAGCTTAACTTAAAACCGTCCAAGTAAATATTCAGTACAATAAATGATAAATGAAATGTTACTAGTACGCTGTAAATCGTATAATTATACTTTTGATATCACTTTTACCTTAGAATTAAAACTAAGGCGTAGAGTAAGGCACAATTGTGTTCATTTTAAATGTTGAGTCAGCTTGATGACATTTTTTTGTAAAAAAACATTAAATGGTTACCATTACGTATTCATGTTTTATTATTATAAATCAAATTTATACCTATATTTCGTGCTTTATCGTAAAAATAATTTAAATCAAATGCTCAACAAGAATATGGTAATGAAACTTTTGTCGCTTTGAGCTTCAAATTCTTCAAAATTTTCAAGTAACTTTGGTGTTTTTTTCTATTTCTACAAAGAATTTCTGTACTAATCAAAAAAAGCCTAGGGAAAATGATGTATTCTAAAAACAGCAAAAAATGTTACTGGACAATTGGATGTGCATGAAGTTACGGCAAGTCGATCTTTAGGCTTTCCTTATTTTTGGGATACACTTTCCGGTCCTAACTCAAGTTTGAAAATAATGGAGGGAATCGTTACATCTTCTCTGAAAGGATCGTATATACCGCCATTGGCGCAAAAGTGCGAACGTCATTTTTCTCTCCCAGAGCGCAAAGTCGTATTTTGTTATACTGAGCAACCCAATTCTTTGAATCAAAGAAAATTTCTTTACCCTCATTCCGTTAAATATTTTCTTATGAGTAAAAAAATATAAGTTAATTGAAAATAATATTTTATTAAATTAAAATTTTCTTTTTTTAATTACGAATTTCTCATTTAGTTGTACGAAATGTTTTTTTGGATCGACTAAATTTGTTTCAATTAAAAGAAAATATTTAACGGAATGAGGGTAAAGAAATTTTCTTTGATTCAAAGAATTGGGTTGCTCAGTGTT